GACATCTCATTACGAGCCAGTGCCGTGGCACCGGCAATTGTTGCTCAGCGACTGTCCGGTGCAGTACAACACCTGTCTGACTGGCTACGACAGCTTGGCTTAATTTCTGAATGAAACGAAAACACAAATCCTACCAATCCCTCCTCACAGAGCACCACCCTTTGCCCTACGCGTGACATGCAATAGTCAAGATCTGCCGATGGTACCATCGGCCAAGTATCTAGGCTTACATTTTGACACGTCAATGTGCTGGCAGACAATGGTTCAACGTGTTGTATCTGCTACTTCAAATGCTTTGTGCTGCCTGAGTTTCTGTATGCATCCTATGCTTACGCCCCATATCTATCTGTTCACCAGGAGCTCCGTCTGGAAAGGCTCTTCAAGCGCGCACTGCATGCTGTATGTAAAGTGCCCCCATGGACCCCCACTGTTACGCTGCTTGAGCGTGTACATGTCTCTCCCTTGCGCGCTACCCTTCTACTTAACTTGCTCTGCTTTATATTGCGTTGTCTAAATTCTTCAGGAAGTATACTATTTGAAATTTTTTTCGACCTCTTTCGTCACGAAGAACTCGAGGAGGCAACAGTGACCTGCTTATTGTCCCTGCCGCTGCTTCTGCACATTCTACCAAATTGGTGACACATGCTGGCGCAGTTCTCTGGAATTCCCTCCATGCGGATATCCAAGGCGTCACCAAACTGGCCGCCTTCAAGTCAAGTGCTTTGCAACACATTCTTGCCTACTTTTACCTTTTAGCTTTTACGCCCATGTTTCTGTAGCTGTGCTGGAACTGCTCTATTTCGCCTTCAAGTCAAGTGCTTTGCAACACATTCTTGCTTGCGTTTAGCTTTACGCCCATGTTTCTGTAGCTGTGCTGGAACTGCTCTATTTCGCCGCCACTATTTTCCATTAGCCATGTCTCTCCCCCCTCCCCCCCCCCCCCTCCACCACCCTACACAGTGGGTGCATTGTTATTAGGCATCTGCCTGTTTTGGTTTCTCCACTATAAATAACAGAATACTAGTATACTACTACTAGGTGTTGTTGTTGTTTGTTGTTTATTTAGACTCGAAGAACAAACAGGCAAATGTGTAGAATAGATTTCCTTGGAACAGGCTGTCTAAACAGGGTATTGCTACTGGACTTCACCCACGATATGAACTGAGATGGTGAGCAGGAGTCAAGCAAACAGATGACAGCGAAATACATAGAGCAGCTAACATTCTCGCTCCACGTACACCGACATAACGACATGGACCCAGACAACAGAGGCAGGAGCACACAGAGTGAGGGTAGTAGGCCTCAGCCAGATGTGAACCGGAATGCAGAAGAAAACTAGGAGCAACAACAGGGGACAGAAACAACGAGAAAGAATGAGTACATTCACCTAACATAAAATAATAGGCCAGGACAACCACCACTTGGGACCGTCAGATTAATTTTTCTGGACCGACCCAGCCGGGAAAAAACCCTCGCGCCGACGGACGCACGAATGAAGGAAAAAACCGGGTGTATAACCCCAAGTGGCAACATGGCAGCATAAAAACAGGCACAACATATCTACAGCCAAGAAAGGAAGGGAAGAAGATGGGCAGATATGAAGGGTGGGAGGGTGGGGACACTGTTGAGACACAAACAACTGACTGAAGAAGTCGAGCAAAAAGAACAGCAACAAAACGAGAAAACATCAGATTCCATATTCGCAAAAGAAATAATTTTGTTGCGTGAGAAATCATTTCTTGCCTCACTCGCTCCGCTCGACCGGAGAGAAATATAACTTTACAGAAATAATGCCAAAAATGATTCGACGGGCAGATGTTAATCATAGCAACACAAGTGATCAGTGATATTAATGACCAAATCCCAGTCAACTAGCTCGGCATACTCTGCAAAATAATCCAATAGATCCTTTTGGCTGGCTCTGTTCTCGCTGTGGTCAGGACTCAACACGGTTCTCAGATGCTCGCCCAAACCTGAGTAAAAATACCTCCAACCCTTTTCCGTTGTGAACACCTGGGCATCACTGACTTTGCGGTACTCCAGGCAAACCTCGAAGTAGTCCTCAAGAGACATATCTAGCTGATTAACAATGTAAAGCTGCAAGGCGGAATGCCACTGACTCACTTTACATGCCATGCGAACATCAACAGGGTCATTACTTCCTGGAAACGCCACGCCCAGGCATCCCAGTGCTTCGGGGAATTTTCCAACAGTCGCGGACAATACGTTGGCTACTTCCACTAATCTTTGTTCGCGATAGTGGTATCGAAGCATTGGAAGGACCCGCCAAGTGAAACTCATCATCTTTTCGATTACCTCCGTCTGATAGGCTTCCACGGAACCACAGCGCTGAACTGATAAGTTTTTCAGGTTGCTGAGATGACACCAATCGTAGCAGATCCGTGCATTACCTGTCACATCAGAACGGGGCGGGGGGTACTCTTGCTCTATGTCAATCTTCTCCAGTTTTGGCAGGCCTTTCACTACAATATTTAGAATAGAGCAGTCCAGAGAGTCGTGATTACAGATAATTCTGGCGTAGTCCTCCCCTTGCTTTTTCAACGATTCCATTTTGGCAGAGAGCAATGGAAGAGCCAGGTGCAGGACTTTTTTTGGACGCGGCATGTGATTATATTTCCTTGGAGGTAGAAGGTGGTAGATTCGGCTGCACATGGCGATATCTAATCTCATGGTTGTTGTGACCGCAAACAATGTTTTGCTGATATCGATGTACGATAAATCCAACAATGGGCTGATGCCGTAGCGACGCTGTGCATGTAAGATAAACAGGAGAGAGATGAACCATAGCAATCATATTCCAGCAAACACCATATTGAAACATAGTGCTCATTCTACAGTCGGGTCTAACTAATGTAGCCATAACTGTAACACTGAAAATCATCATTTTCTTTTGTGTGTGCATACAATATTGATGTGGAGGACATGGTCAGATGTAGTAGAGTCGGATGTTTCCGTGTTTGGATGTTTCATTAAAAAAATGTCTTTATAGACTAAATATCAGCGGACATGTCCACATTTCCGGGGATGGACATTTTTTATCCCACTTTGACAGTTTGGTCCAAAGTCCATCGTTTCTTGAATACCAGTCAAAGTCAAGAAATCGACTAAACTACTCACTGAAACAAGATTCAACAACAACTGTACAGCGCAGCCAAACCAACTGTGTTCGCACACCAATCCCATTTCCCTTGTAATATTTGGCCATCCAACTTTGTAATGTATGGTGAATAAGGTCCACCCAGAGATGAAAGAAGCCTCGTTGACTTAAAATGAAGTCGAAAAGTTGGCCAGGTTCGGTGATATGAAATTGTGGTCATTACAGAAATCGACTCTTTTGTAGCAGTTTATTCACATGATTGTCAGGTAAATTATCATTCTCTCCAACATACCATGTTGCAAGAATATACATAATGGAATTTCGCCCAGTGATAACATGGATGCAGTGAATGGGATTTTCGGTCTTTGACCACTTGCTGGTGAGCTGATCTACTCACCTCCCACCGCTTTAGGAGCTGCATCTGCGCCTTGATCCTTGAAGGGTGGTGGCGTTCCTACGGATGCGGAAAACCCGGCTTCCAGCCGAGTCTCACGCGAACCGTGAAATTTTTTTTTTTTTTTTACATTATCAAAATTCCCTTACAGGATTTGTTTTGCAAAGAGTCGTTCGTGTGATTTCTTTCGCCTATTCTACCTACAGTACATGTAAATGTAGATCAAGAGAAGATGTTATGGCAGGTTCAAATATTTGATTCACACCAGCCTACTATTTGCACTACCACTTCACATGTCCAGTTAAGTCTATTTTACAAGTATTTTCAACTTAGACAATTTGCCTAGCCCTGATCTTTGCACCTCAGGTGCGCATGATGCTTTCCTTTTCGCTACAAAAGCATGATGGCTATTTTATAGCCATTCAACAATATCAAACTCTCATCGACGAGAGTTTATCATTCGAAACAGCTGTATGCACAATGTGGGAACTCAGTAACAACCAATGTGTCGCATTGCTGATGGGGTGCTGTGGCAACGTGTTGATATCGGCTTTGAGCGCGCAGATTTGGAGGGATGGTTGATAGAGAATAAACTTTAGAAGGCCAACGCCTGCTACTTATCCTTAAAAATCAAATCGTTCATATATGGGCGGTGAACACATTTGCATATCACCTTTCATTAACCCATTCAGCGCTACTGGGCCTTGCCTATGGTACTCTGCATATAAAATGCTAAAAACAGGGCCAATAGCAAGTTCTAAAACTCAAGGTTCTTGCAACTGGGGTCCTCAAATATTTTGGAAATGATTGCCAAGACTATCAACCACAGGGTGACAGAATCGATACAGTCCCCAAAAAGGACAGCGCCTTACAATAGGGGACGCAAGTTTGCTCATATTCCGTGAAATACGCCAAATGCGTGAAATTGCAGCTGAAAGATCGCTGAAAAGAGAAGAAAAAAAGACCCGTAGTGTTTCCAAGCGGGATTCGTACCAACGACCTATCGTACAAGAGGCAGGATCATGATCCAACTGACTATCAGTGCTTTTACACATCAGACGGTGCCAGAAATCACTATATATCCCATGACGTCTATAGACGTCATCCCGCGCATGGGGGGCATTTTCAATGACGTCTATAGACGTCATCAGCGTTCAATGGGTTAAACCCTTAAGCCTACTATGGAAAGTGTGAAGCAGGGTTACTGTGAATTTGTACAGCTTTGTTGGCGGTGACGTAATAATGAAACGTAGGCTAGCTGGATGTGATACTAATAATTTGTATTGCAAGCAACACCAAATTCGAGAGCACCGTAACTGATGCCATCATTTCTGGCAAGTGTACGTGCTGTCATTCCTCTCACACCCAGTACTCGTACTCGCCACACAGAGAATCTTGAATGTCTGCTCCGTCATCAACAGTTCTCGTAGGTTCCGCGACACGCGGCAAAGGCGAAAAATTGACCTGACATCAAGGAGAGGTAGAAGTGATGAGATCCACACATCGTACAAGAGACTATGGAGATTACACGAGCTTTGGCGCACTAACTTGTGATGCATATCTGCTGTGTTCAGATCTTTCAGATCGGACACGACCGTGGAGTGCACTACATCACCTTGATCATTGCTATCTGAAACGGGCCCAGGCTGATGACAATCCGTCTCGGTATGGCTTTCTGAGAACTGACGTAGACCAACAGGACGCCCCCGAAGACTGTAGGGCAGGTGAACATTGTCTTCTTCCACCTGTTCTTCCGAACAACATTGAACGGTTCTAAACATGCCATGAAAACAAGAGTAAAAAAGGAAGAACATAGAGTTGACAGTTGAGCGTTAAGTCACCACTCTCTGACAGTGGCCAACAATACCAAGAAAAATGTCAACCGATGCCTCAGTGTTTGCCAGTTGTGGTCAGTGCAATTGTATCTTTACTCTTGTATTAATCTACACCCCCACCCCCTCACATACACATCCGCAGTCAAGTATAGGCACTTTAGTAACGGAACATTTTCAATTCCTTATGACGTATAGTGTGAGATTTCGATCTTTCCTTTGGTTTTAGCTCTTTAAGTTGCTGTATTCGACATTTTCCAATATTCCATGGTGAGAAGAGAACGAAAACGCTCAGTTACTAAATCGCCTTTACTTGACGGTGTGGATTGCGTCGGCTCTGACACTTCTTTCCACATTGGACACGCCTTTCATTCGGTGCACGATTTCATTTACTCTGCTGCGTCCTTGCATTGTTTTGTTTGTGTGTCTCTTGGGTTAGGCATCGTGCTGCTGCTAATGAGGAATCCCACACTCTGGCAGTGTCGAAGCTCACATCTTGCGAGATTAGTTGCCATTTCTCGCTTCACTCCTGTGCGTTTGTTGCATATCGTGTTCTTGTCTGTATTCAATCTGTTTGGTCCATTTTCTTTAACATAAATTTGGGAACACAATCCCTCGGCCTCAATGCTGTGTGATCAGTCGAGTTCAGTGGACATCAGATACGCCTTCAATTGTTTCCTTAAATGATAACACAATATTTATGTTTGTCACGAATTGAACTTAGGCAGACAGCCAGTTACAGAAATAGAGTTAACAAGACTCACCTCTTCTTCATCTTCCAAATATCAGGCCTTTGGCGGCAGCAGTTGTACCACAATCCGCAAACCTGATCAACCTAGAGCAAGCCAAACAACACGCAATGACAGACCGATTTGCTGCGGTAGTGCAAACAGAAAAACCTGAACACCCGATCTCTCATTTCCCACAACGTCATGCATTTCAAGTGAATATCTGCCCAGTGTTAGTGCTGATCGATGAAACGTTTTTTAACCCTTGCCGTGCTGGCCCCTTTTACTCCAGCAAACTGGCTTTCCAGCGCACTGACTCTCCTGGTGTCGTTTTCGCGCACAGGTCCGAACGAATTTTTCTCTGAATTCAGTTTACCTTGATGGATTTTCATCATCCTGGGCTTGTTGGAAAGATCAGGACCAAGGGAATCCATTCTGGTAACTCTCAACTCAATATGCACAGCAGTGCAACTCCTACGTCATCTTGAAGCTACCTCACGATGCCTCGAAAAGGCACAGGAACTCGATCTCACATTCTTTTTCAGTTCTCGCTCCAGCCTTCAGCCAATTTTCACGATTCAAACTGCGCTGCAACGCTGAGATCCATTTGCTTCCGCGGGTGTCCATTACGCATGCGCTGTGACAAAGGGAAATCCCCTGGCACGCAACAGAAAACTGTGAACGCAGTCACAAAAAATTGAGGATCGCTCAGTGCAGTGAATTTTGTGTTCACACTGTCGCCGCTCGAGCTCCGTCAATCTTTCTCCTATCGCAAAGAACTTTTATATCGCTGGAAAGCTGAGCACAATACCTTTCCAACGTTAACGGTGTATCGATTGTCGCGATAGACTTATTTTTGACGGAGTTACGAAAGTTTGTACACTGACCTATGCACTGCGATGTACTGCGCAATGTACTGCGCAAATCTCATGACGTCTATAGTATAGACGTCATTAGTCGTTTGGCGTGTTGCGTACAATGACGTCTATAGACGTCATTAGCACGGAAAGGGAAAGGGTTAAACCTTTCCGTGCTAATAGGGCTTGAAAGTCATGACGTCAAAACGGCCAGGGAGCAGTAAGTTGACATCAGAGTTCTATTTTGGATCCACTAAGGTGTGATTTTGCTATAGCCTCAGTATGTGGGTGCATAGCAACCCACTCATGTCGATGCATGTGTGACTTTTACTTCGCCACCAGGTGTCACCCCGCCCCTATTAGCCAAATCAGTCAGTTTCACTGGCTACATCACCTTGCTGTGAGTAAGACCGCTTGAAATGTGCTTGGATCCATACAAAAACTGGATCCAAGTGGATCCAGTTTTTGAATTTTTGAAATTATTGCTATGCTGTGACGTAGCACTTTCAAGCCCTATGACGTCTAGACTAGTCTATACACGTCATGCGCGCTGTACGCCAAACGACTATTATAAATGACGTATAGACGTCATGAGATTTGCGCAGTACATCGCAGTGGTTAGATCAGGGTACAAACATTCGTAACTCCGTCAAAAATAAGTCTATCGCAACTTTGCTTTCATGCGAAAAAAATAAGCACCAACAACGGGAATTACCCCGGAAAATGCAGCAAAATTAGTAGAAGCAAATGTTAAAGGAAGGTCCACCTTACCGTCTGTGGTAGTGAGAGCCTTCTATCCGTGTAGGTGAGATTCTGCCGAGTATATTCAGCCTTGCACGGCTCGACAAGAATTTGGCTTTCAGCTACGGCAACAGCTGTATTCACCTAGCTACTTTGTGACCACAACACCATCAGCAAATCTAGAGAAGAAGCGAAGGAATCTGTCCACTGGCAAAGCAAACCTCGTATACTAGTATTGGACCATTGTAGTGGTAGCTAGCGCGACGGCGAACCAACTGAAACATATAAATTGTCGAAGGCTGGCTTTTATACGTGTAGCTAGCCTTCGAACATCATAATAATTATTTAATTACGGAGCATCAGCAAATCGAATATTCGAATGAAATTCGAGAATCGTCACGAAAAGCACTCAATCAGTCGCAACTAGGGCTTTGTTCGACTGAAAAATGCCCGCAAACAGAAAATACTTTTCGAATACTTTTCGAATGCTCCGCGCGTGCTCTAGTACACGGCGCACTACGAGTACTCATTCTTGCGCATGTAGCTACTAGTTCTTACTAAAGTACTAGTCAGGACTTCTTGTCAATCTTGACGCTTTCCTCTCTCTCGAACTGTGAAACGTTTTATCAAGTGTGCATTTTGTTTCATTTCAAGTATCCTGGAATCATGGCTTTGTCACCAACTACCAGCCCCGGTATGCCTCCTGCTCCCAGTACTGCAGTAGCCCTGCTGGCGTTGTCTCGGCATCTGCGTCTATCGTGAGTTCCCCGCAGGGAGAGGGCAACTCAAAGTGTGCCAAATATTTGAGGGTTGACCTTACCATGGATCTCATTCTGCTGAGGCAGTGTAGGGCCCACCCTCACCTATTCGTCCGCAAATCTCCTGATATGCAAGGGATAGCGGAGGAGCTCGGCCGAGATCCGCCTTTTCAAGGGGTCTCCAAGAGAGATCCTATCGCCAATAGCCTGAATCGGATGAAGCATCCGCCGCTTCGCGTCATCCCCAAAGGCAATGAGAAACAACAGCAACTCCGTTCATTGCACATCCCAAAATCCCAGTCCTCAACTGCTCAAGCTAAAAAAACTCGATTCGAAAATACTGGACTGCGCTACATGCTGAACCTCTTTTTCATTCGAATTTTCTCTCTGATTTTCTTTTTGCCATTCGAATAATCAAATCGAAAATTCGATTTGCTGATGCTCCGTATTATATTACGTGTGTCCGTTCGAATGCAAGCTTGCCTTGATTATGACTCTGCTTGAGTTGAGAGCACTGAGTCGGAGTGCACCCGCCACAGTTGATCTACGTGTACTGCTTCTTGCGCGCTCTGAATGAGTGTGGGAGTCTAATGTCTGCCTCTAATGACGTGAAAAACACCTCACGCAAAGGTTCAGACAAGGCCCACGTCACCTATTTTTGCTCTAGTTATGTCACGTGTACACGCACAGCATCAGCCGACGTCACATGAAGGTACAAAGCAAGACACGGTATAGCCTATAGGCTGTAGCATACTAATAGGGCTAGGGGTAGTGGTCGGGGACGTGGTGGACTCAGCTTGTGAGTTTCAGCTCCTTGCGCTTCTTGAATTTTACTTATTTCTATTTATCGCCGTGGTTGGCAATCACCCACTCTCGTAACATTGGCCGGTGTTTCCGCCGAGTCTTGAGATGTTGTAATAAATAATAATAAAAGAACAATGGACCGTATGCGTGTTAAAACAAAATGGCGTCACGATTTATTGAAAGTGGTATAGTTGGTGGAACGAGTGTTCAAACCCATTTGAACTTCATACTGTTCGTCTTCTTTTTGACATGCTCTCTTTCCATCGTCCTTAGCTTTTGTTTGTTGAGAGCTGCTTTGGCTTTCTCCTATACCTCTGGGGGATGCCAAGTGATGGTTTTGAGAGGCTGGTGATGGCTGTGAGCGAGAGTTTGCCGATCGGCGTCGTCCTCGCTATAGCGATGAAAATACTAGTTACTGCGCACCTGGCAGATATCACAACACGTCGGAGCGTCCAGGAGCAAAGGAATCTTGGGTTTTCACTGGAATCTAGTTCCACCAGCATCGTGTAGCCCACCGTCGGTGAATGGCGGTCCAGAAAGGTCGAAACTGGTCTTCTGCAGCATCTCGCAGTCCTGCGAGGCACACTGAATACGCCTGTCATGTATTCTACAAATAAAAATCACGAAGTAGTGGACTTTACAGTGATGAGTCTATCCTGTATGCTGCAAAAGACGCAGGAAATGTGACTGGTGTCCGTACACTGGACGCCAATATCATCCCAGTCTTCTCCTGCAGGATCTGTTTGACATTGACATACCGGTATGCAGTGGGTCGACATTGGCCTGGTTTGGCAGCTATCTGCCTGGGTGGATGTAGCAGGTTTGCATTGGCGCGTCGTCCAGGCCGACATTTTCTTGTAACTGTGGAGTACCGGCAGGGTTTGAGAGGTTGCTCGTGCTGTGAACACATCTCTACTGCCTGTCTCGTCCTGGAAGTGCCGTCTCGCCGCTTCCTTGCTCTACAGTCACGCCGTTATTTCGCTTTGTTTCGTGGTGCAGCTCAAAACCTGCCCAAACAACTGTGAGCTCGCAACATGGTATGGACAAATTGCACCACTCATGCTGGTTAACTAAAACCGGGATAGTCGAGTAAGCGAGTTCACTCCCTGGGCCATGGCAAGATCTGTTCAGCGCGGGCTATTCCAACCTCCAAGTGCATAGTCACCGATCGATCCATGCGATGGTGGTTGACCTACAAAGAGCCAAGGTCTACGAGTACTACTATTGGATGCTGTCTACATGCAGTCAACAAAATCAAAGTACCTCAGTATGCCCCAGAACAGGGCATGTGCATCTATAGCATGACACAACAGGGGTTCTGGCGGCACCTGTCAAACAAGCAGTAGCGACTAGTGCCAGCTACCTATTGGAGGCTAGCCGCTACAGTCTGTCACTGGAGATAATTATTATGTTCACTGTTTAGACTGAGCACAATCAATGATGCCCAATCAATCTGCCCAATGTGTGTTCTGTTCCACCTAATTATAACGTCCCATCGCATCAACCCTACTACACGCACATGTCGTCACTCTAGCACGACTTGTGTTATTATTGTTTATTTTGATTCGCACGATAAATAGAGCACAATAAACGTTACCTTGACCGAAGGTTAAAGGCGACTGCAGATAGAGGAACACATCGAGGTACAGGTGCCGGCATCAATACAGTATCAGAGAGGTACGCAGAAAAAACTCACGTAAGCCCAAGGGGAAGTGGTTGATGAGGGATGAATGTACTCTCCACGCTCGTCTACACTGTTCGTGGAAATGCACACATACATACAATAATATACAACATAGCAATAGCATGCACAGAACCGAACAATTTCATGTTCACACATGCAAGCACAGACCTGAACATTAGTACCAAAAGCCGATACAGACAATATCCCCATACACACAGACGCACACACACACAATGTCCCATGTATGCGCCCGTGGCGAGAAAAGCACGCAGATCTAAAAATGCACTGGATGTGAACCCACAGATTTTCTCTAATAGCAATGATAGCGGATCTGATTCTGAATGAAACACACACACAATACAATTATTGAATGCCCATCCGCAGATGATGGCAGGTCCTGAAAGAACAGGCAGTGTTCCAGTGATGGGGAACAGAACTTCGAGTGGCGAGTGAGGTATACACACACACGTGCGTGCGCGGGCACACACCAAAGTATGAAGAAATAGAATCGACATCGTAGTATTCATTGGTTGGGGAATGGAAAGGAAAATAAAACATTGCTATAGGTTATTGTTGTAAGGACACTGGGAGCACAACAGAAAGGTAAGCAACTTGCTTTGAAGCAAAGAAAGTTATTATTCCACGGATCTCAGAAGGAAGGAACGTTCCAGAATGCTGCACTGGCAACAGGCGGCCTGCATGTGCGCGGCCCCTGCAGTCGGTCCAGCTGCCGGCCTTGCAGTGCTGAAAAGAATGTGCAGTACAGCATGTCACATAGTATCGCAGCCTGGACAAATAGACGCTGGGAAGTCCTAGTTATGTGCTCACCTACACCACGATGCACCAATCTTCTGAGCTACTTTGGCAACAATTTTGTCCACTTGAGACTCCCATGGGCTGAGCCAGTTGTTGAGGGCTGCATCAAGGTGGACGGCAATGACCGCTGATGGCAAGGCAATCCATGACACACAGTCACTAGGGCATCGTCAACATGGCGCTAAGGCTGGATGAATAAAATCAACCTTTAGGCTGCCGCGGGATTGACAACGAGGCCGCTGTCTCGAAGCTAGTCAGTCAGCCTGGTCACCGCCATTGACGAACCAGTCGCCACCGCCAGCAGTGGCGGTAGGTTGTGACAAGTATGGTGCAATATTGTCAGCAAATTCAGTACTCAGGATAAGATGAGTGACAAAGGGAACGTTGTGTTTGATAATATTGAAGTGAACAGGGATGATCACAAACCCTGCGCGTACTCCACCGTGAGTTACAAGAAAATTCCGGACTGGACGACGAGCAAACACCAACCTGCTACATCCAACCAGGGCAGGCAGATACTATAACGATAGCTGCCAAACCAGGTCAATGCCGACCTACTGCATAATGTCAATGTCAAACAGATCCTGCAGGAGAAGACTGGGGTGTTGGCGTCCAGTCACTGAGTGTACAGACACCAGTCACATTTCCTGCGTCTTTTGCAGCATACAGGATAGACTCATCACTGTAAAGTCCACAACTTCGTGATTTTTATTTGTAGAATACATGACAGGCGTATTCAGTGTGCCTCGCAGGACTGCGAGATGCTGCAGAAGACCAGGTTCGACCTTTCTGGACCGCCATTCACCGACGGTGGGCTACACGATGCTGGAGGAACTAGATTCCAGTGAAAACCCAAGATTCCTTTGCTCCTGGACGCTCCGACGTGTTGTGATATCTGCCAGGTGCGCAGTAACTAGTATTTTCATCGCTATAGCGAGGACGACGCCGATCGGCAAACTCTCGCTCACAGCCATCACCAGCCTCTCAAAACCATCACTTGGCATCCCCCAGAGGTATAGGAGAAAGCCAAAACAGCTCTCAACAAATAAAAGCTAAGGACGATGGAAAGGGAGCATGTCAAAAAGAAGACGAACAGTTTGAAGTTCAAATGGGTTTGAACACTCGTTCCACCAACTATACCACTTTCAATAAATCGTGACGCCATTTTGTTTTAACATGAATATCGCGGATTCAGCTAGCTCCCCTAATAATATTAAACAGCTGATTTTGTCTCACTCCTCAAAGCGTGTGAGTTTCAGCTCCGTGCGCTTCAGCTCCGCTACAGCTGATTTTATCAGTGTCACTTCTCACCACAGCGGATACTTGTTGAGATCTGCTTCCCTTATGTACGTAACACTGCCGTAAACAGGACGAGCTGCAAGGTCGGTTGGCGTTTCTGGTACATTATGGTCTCCCCACAGACGTTCAAGACTGAAGTGAGTAAAATTAATAGTTTTTTGAGGAGCGAGACAAATTTTTAGTCCTCGTCGGAGATGTTGTCCAAGGCAAGGACTAGGCCTTGACAGATTATGCTAGCACCACTTATTTACTGCTCTCCAGGCCAAACCATCACCAGGGATACAAACTTACAGGGACACTTTGTTTCCATCGCGACAAACACCTTGTGAAGCTCCAGGTACTACTAGGTAGCAGCGTGAGTCAGAGTCGCTCATGGAGCTGTGCTAAACAGACGTTGAGAGCCAGTATCTGTTCGCAACGCTGTCACCTCCAACAACTAGTCGCACGTTTGTTTAGCACAACTCCATGAGCGACTCTGACTCACGCTGCTACCTGGAGCTTCACGAGGTGTTTGTCGCGCTGGAAACAAAGTGTCCCTGTAAGTTTGTATCCCTGGTGATGGTTTGGCCTGGAGAGCATTATAAGTGGTGCTTTTCAGGCACAATCTTCCTCAGCCTACTCAAGCTCAACCCTGATGAGGGGTGAATTCCCCGAAACACTGTGTATTGAGTAGGGAGTGATGCTTTCTTGCAGGTTTGCCGAGTGGAAGGTGCGACGTGCTCCTCATGTGCTCTGGATGGCAGTCGTGAGTCAGTCAAGTGTCAAGTTCGGCAAGAAGCGTGTGTTCCTATTTGGAACATTATTATTTTAAAAATCTATTTCCCGCGTTGCAGTGTAGCAGCAGTATGCTGGGTCCACAGCTTCGCTTATGCAGAATGGCTAGGGTGAGAGGAGAGGGGAGAGAAAGCAACAAGGCAACCAACATCTATGAAGTAGGTCACAATAACATGAAGAGAACCAACCTACATATTATGCATTATTGCACAAGAACGGAGACGACAAATGGCTATTCATTGTGCCACAAAACCGGTACACAGGAGATCTGTCGACAATGTAACGAAACGTAAAACTCAGTTACTCAATACAGATTCCACTAAATTACAAGGGAACAACGCTACAACATTAGAATTGCCGCTAAATTATCGCAAGCGTAGAGAACGAGTCCAAAATAAAAACCATGAACAGACTGTCCCGAAGTAGTAAATTTAATAAATTAAATAAACTGTTATTTTGGTATAAAATCTTGTAGGACGCATCACGCAGCTTCATAAGTAAAAAATTGGTTGTGAGCAACTAATTTTTTACTTATGAAGCTGGTGGCCGACAACAGGTTTCCGGAGATGTATGGCCTACCTAAAGACCACAAAGCCACGGTACCGCTTCGGCCAGTTGTGTCAGCTGTTGATAGCCCGGTGACCAATATTTCTATTGTCCTGGAGCGTATACTGAACCAATGCCTGAAATATGTCCCAGCACATCTTAAAAACACGCTGGAAGCACTGGAGGATATCCGGCAAGTGTATCCCGACCTACAAGCCCCAGCGGGGACCATCATCGTTACAATGGACGTGGTCGCTCTTTACCCAAGTATCCCTATCGCTGAGGGGGTGGAGGCGGTCGCTAGAGTCCTGCAGCAGCACATCGAGTCTGTTGACACATTTGGTTTAAGCGTGGAGCAGATCGAAGAGCTGTTAACCTTCGTTCTAAGATCCAATTACTTCAGATTTGGTGAGAAGGTCTACCACCAGAGGGAAGGCATCGCCATGGGTAACAACCTAGCGCCCCCGTTTGCGATTATCTTCATGCATGACCTCGAAACCTCGCTGTTGCTAAACTCGCCTGGTGCTCCCGTACTCTACAAGCGTTATATTGATGACATCATTATGCTGTGGACACTGGGGGCCGCGCTTCTCCGCCAGCTGATTGCATACTTCAATACCGCCAATGCGAGCATCAAGTTCACGTATCAATCTTCGGAGGAAACTGGGTCGGTGGACTTTATGGACACGACTATTCATGTCTCCTCCGAGGGCGCAATATCATTCGAGCTGTTCCGCAAAGCTTGCCACAGTGGCCTCGTCTCAGACTTCAACTCGTGCGTTCCGCAACAGCAAAAACTCGCCATCGCGTCTTCGGAATTCCTCCGCGCGGCCCGCCTTTCCTCTGATCCTGCAGCCCGCCAGCGAAGTGAGCAAAAGGTTATTGACACATTAAAATTCAACAACTTTCCTGACAAAGTTATCGCGACTGCTCATGAACGAGCCAGACGACCTGCTAAACAAAAGAAAGACTATCGATCCACGTTGAAGTTACCATTCAAAACGGATGCCATCCACTACAGGGTCCACCGTCTTCTAAACAAATACAATCTAAATGTACAGATAATCTACAAGAATGCAAGGCTTTCCAACAGCGTCACTAAGTCCAGCCTCACTGGACCTTGCTGCCGTAAGTGGGTGGATCCCGCTGCCCCGAGGCGACGAGGAAGGCCTAAAGCCGCCTGCGTTGCATGCCAATCGAGCGAGGTAGAATGCACAAGACGCAACGTGGTTTATCGTCTGACCTGCAAGTGCTCGGAGAAGTATGTTGGAGAGACTGGCCGTAGTGTAGCAACGCGAACAAAAGAACACAATGATAACTCACGCAACAAGACGTCTGGAAAAGCCCTGGGCGAGCACTACCGACTTCACCATGGCGGCGAGGTACTGCCGCTTGGCGAGTCGGCATTCACAGAGGTTCGCGTCCTTGCCACCGAGTCGGATCGGGCCAGGAGGAGAATACGCGAAGCAATACAAATTCGCGACACGAGTCCCAGCATAAACAATAACGCAGGATGGGACCTCCTGTGAATTCTCTGGTGAAGTACCGCCTTGTACATATTTCTGGCCCTGATACTCGCTCTTCCTGGATAGTGGTGGTTTTTGCACCCCTTGCACTAGTGCACTGTTACTACTACTGTTGTTGCTAGCGCCTGCAATTACATGTCTGCACGCACCTAGTGCACATGTACATTCTGTTTGTTGCTTGTACCTGTGCCATATTTAGAGTTGTCGCGTATTGCGTTATTTCTATACCTGGTTTTTTTTGGTGATGTTTTGTCCTTTTGTTCTCTCTCTCGTCATAGTGCATGCAGGTGTGATTTGTTATCAGTTCGCAGCGCTCCTCATATATTAACCCATCCTAACCGGTGTGCCCACTTCATTCCTGATGATGGTTATTTCATGACCGAAACGTTGAAATATAGTATTTTTCTGGTGAAAAGCAGTTATTTGAGTGTGAGCCAGTGTTGCTCACAACCAATTTTTGTTATTTTGGTAGTTGGAACAATCCACTTTAAGGACTACGATCGTACGAGTACGAGATTATTATTAATTTTTTAGTAGTCAGCTACAGTTGATCGAATACTAACAAGGCAGGAATACCACACAGGTACGTGTACTAGAGTTCGAGTGTGATCAGTCAAAATAATTAATCGCGCTTTAATATATACCTGGTGTACCATATACGCGGGCCAAAGACAGGGCAGGACTTTTCGCCTTCATCCAGTTTTCCAGGTACGCGTGCTCGATTGTAGTCTAGTAGAAATGAAAGTGCAGCCACCACGTCCCCGACCTCCATCCCTATGCTATGTGGTATCGCGCTTAGGGCCGGGCTCCAATGCGGCTCCGCTACTCCGCTGGTGGTCATCCGCGACTTGAAACGTCATCATTACCATAGTGACCGCGGGTCTGCGGCTCGAGCTGGAGCAGCGAGGCCGCGAGCTTTCGCTACGATTCTTGATCAAAAACTGCGAGCCGGTGTACAACCCAATACATACATGTAATACTAATAATAGTATTGTTATTATTGTAATTTGTAGGGTTTGACAGGCTAAGCTAAGACTAAGAGAAGGATCCAATATTGCAATAATGACGTGGGCGCCAACTGCGAACGTTTCATCGTCTCGACTCGAGTACGACTACAGTGATTACATGTAATGCATAAAGAGTACACGTGACGTCGGTATCCGGCCTCTTTGGCTTCGTCTACGACTGTCTACGTAGATCTACGTGGGGCTACTAAAATAGTCATTGTACGTACTAATGACCTGCAGTCTGCACGTAATACATGTTGTAGTAGGCCTCGAAATTCAGGCTGAGTCGACTGCCTGATCACGGATCGTAGGGTGCCTGTTGGCTTGGTAGTGTAACTGCGTTACACACCTAACGCGTAACGCCTTTGTTAGATCAAGTCCAAGTCTTTAGCTGGCGTGTTCCAATAATGACGTGGGCGCCAACTGCGAGCCTCTCATCGACTCGATCGAGAGTCGAGACCAGGGAGTAGTAAAATACAGGGAGGTGACACGCCACTAATCGTGATTTTTGATGGGTGCCTCGCGCTTGTTTTTTTTTTCTTTCGCAAAAAAAGATGATCTGCTGAATCAATCTTGAGTATTTGTTGAAGAACTAATTCCGTGAAAAGGTCTATCCATCTCATGGAACAGCATTTGTTTTGCTCTTGTGATACATCTGTGTCATCGTCATATGGAAAGGTACCACCCTTCCGAAATTCGTCCCGATCGACGGCATGGAGCAATAGAACGAAGGTGATTTCCTTGAGATACGTGTACGATTGGAGATGAAAAGCGAGTGCACCGATTTCGAAGTCGAAAAAATCTCTAGGACACCACATGATCGGCACTAATTTCTCCTCAGTTGTGATCAACCAGTACTTCTCTACCTTCTTTGTGATGATGAGCATTTCATATTATGGTATGCTAGAGATTCGGGAGTTCACTTTTCGGAATGAAATGTTCCTAAGTTTGTCAAGGATTGAAATGCGGGCTACGTCGTCGTAAACAGCTTGTATCGATACAGGAAAAATCTACGGCACGCAGGGATATCTCTCAAAGTGATACCACTCTTGCTGGACGTCTATCCTGACATAGTGGTAGTTTGGTCGACTACCAAACTTTGTGAAGGCAGACAATTGTTAGAAATTCTCAGCGCTGAGTTTCTACGGGCTGCAGTATGAGTCCTTTTGACGGTAGGTATTTTACTACTCCCTGATCAAGAGAATCCTGATCCGCGCGCGTGTCTCCACACTTCGGTACCCATAGTACCCCAATCTCACCCGCCGGGTGAAAACGGTGCTGAGGCAATCGTCAAACTGCCTGAAACTGGCCGTACATCATGGTACATGCTCGTGTCACCTCCCTGTATTTTACTACTCCCTGGTCGAGACCAACTACAGTGATTAATGCATAATGAGTACACGTGATATCGGTCTTCGGCAGGCTTTAGCTTTGGCTTCCACTTACTTCATCTACTATGTGGCCACGTAGACGAAGCCAAAGGCAAGGGGCCAAAGACCGACATCACGTGTACGTAGGGCTACTACATAGTCATTGTAATTAATTGTTGGCCTTGGCATGCAGTGTTGCCCATGTAAGATTAACGCGTATGCGTCGTTCGATCAATTCCAAGAACTAGACGTCAATTACGTGACTTAGTCTTTAGCTGGCGTGTACGTGTCCCCAGCGTCTCGCATGGTCACTACCAGCTAGCTGTGTGTAAAACATCAGTGGTTGTGGATTCACCTACATAACAGCATGGCTAATGGCGCGTATATAGCAGGCTTTGGGAGAGATTTGTTTCAGTTGTAGCGAGTATCAGTAGCTAACACTACTACTAGTATTAGTAGTTCCCGAGGCTTGCCTTCCTACTGAACAGATTTCAATTCTTCTCTAGATTTACTGATGGTGTTGCTGCCCCGCTGTAGCTAGGCGAATACACTGATTGTCGTAGTGGAAAGTCAAATAATTCTCTGCTAACTAGTACGAGGCTGCAGAATTCGGCAGAAGCTCACCTAGACGGATCGAAGACTCTCACTACCACGGACGGTAAGGTGAACTGAAGGCTGCTTACTCAATTTGCTGAATTTCCCGTTGTTCGCAATTATTTTTTCGCACTAAAGCAAAGTTTCGTTGCATTGCTTGTGTCGGGACTATCAAGCCTAGTTCACATTCGACGGGGCGCGACGGGACGGTTTGACGGCGTCCAATGTGAACACCAGGAACGGGAACGCAACCGTACTACCGTACAGATCGGGAAGCGACGGGAAGAGCTGGATCGATCCAACTTTTCGTACCGTAGACGGGCGTAGACGGGGACGCAAGCGTCCAAAACGGCTGCAATTCGAGCGTGAACAGACGACGGCGTCGTGTGCCGACTACTCCCGATTCGTACTTGGAAATTTTTAGCATTTCGAACACTGCGCTTCCCATGATAACTCACCCAGAATGGCTAGCACGACTTGAGTTGAATTTTAGCAACATAAGATCTCATGTCACTTATTGTATTTGGGGATAGTTCAGAAGCGTGACAGACGAACAATTCTATCATTTCCTGGGGCTATTATTTGAATGTCACAACTTTCTGGGCTAATTTTTTGATCTTCATGAAAAACTGGTATTGTGAACTTGATTCCGCTTCTTTCAAGGAGAAATAATTGAAAAGAAGTCCCGAACAATGAGAAATTAGGTCGAAAGTCACCCCGTCACGCACCGTGCCTTATGACTCACGCCGTTCGACGTTGAACGTCGCCACGACTGCTGCATGTCATGTCGTACGAATCGTACGGGATTTTACAGCTCACCCCAGCCCTACAGACAAGCCCTTACGTCTGGTACCATCGGCGTTGCGTCGAATGTGAACTAGGTTTCACACTAGTAGTCAGGGAGCCGACCTTCAAAAAAGTGGCGCTCCAGGTCGGGCGAGATGGAGTACAAGATCTCTTCAGCAATGGGTTATGGGTCTATCAGAGAAGGGCTTTCGAGTTCTTGGCCATCCCAAAGCTGTGCACGGACATCGCGAGGATGCATTTTGTTCGACGAGCAAATTCATAATTGTCAAGCATTTAGGCGCAAATGTTTTTCGTTCTCAGCCGACTTCTCGGTTTGAGAAGTAGGTGCGCACGCTTAAAATTCCAAATCAGTGACTATGCGCCTGTCCAGAAGATGACGACGCTGCAAGCTTACTTTCTCAAAGCGTGACATACATTTTCATTACGATTTTGGCTTTGAAAGTGAGAATAGTATTGCCATCGTCAGGTCCACTAGTCACGAAGCATGGCACTTCTGGACAAAAGCGAAACATAGAGTGTGTACCAGCAATAGCAAGGGCGTCGGAACCGCACCGGCCGGGGCGGCCATGGCCGCCCCACTTTTTCGGCCGTTTTTTTATTTTTATTTTTTTATATATTTTTTTAGCACACTGCAACAAAGCGCGATGATCTCAGCGCAAACGTGGCAAATCCTTGTCCCCGATCGTGGTTTGTTGCAGAATCAAAAGTCCATGTACACTGAAATGGCACCAAATGCCTGGGAATGCTTGCAATTGGCTTCAATTTTTGAATTTTTTTCCCAGGGGAGGGTAATGTTTGTCCCCGATCGTAGCATCTTCTTGTTTTTTTTGCAGAGTCAAAAAGTCTTTCATTGTAGTTACCGTACACTGAAATGGCACCAAATGCCCGGAAATGCTTGCAATTGGCTTTAATTTTTGAAATTTTTTCCCGGGGGAGGACCCCCGCACCCCCTTCCATGGCCGCCCCACCTCCAAAGTCGTTCCGATGCGCCTGAATAGTGCACAATAATACTCGCGCCTACTCGCAATTAACTCTGCAACGCGTGCAAGCAAAGTTTCAAAAGTATATTTCCAGGTCTGACTGAGGTCGAGTCGAGCGAAGATTCCGGCAGAGTAGGCGAGATGTTGCTTGCTGACAAGTCGGCCTCCGCGTCCCTGAGTCCTGACTGCCAGTGCCACAGCCGTATGCACCAGTGACCAGTCACCGGACGTGCAAGATCATCATC